CCTGCTGAAGTCAGCGCTGCGCATCTGCTGTCAGCACCACCGACCCCGAATCCATGCAGGGACAGAGATGATGCCGATCACGGTTAGAGAACTGGAGAACAGACTCTTCCCGGTTAACTGCTGCTAGTTAGCAAGGAAATAACTCTTCAAGAGGCTGCCTCTCTATTAATAAACTTTCTTCCAACAGACAGCTCTTGAACAAAAGCTCAAGGAAGAGAAAATACTGCAGGGGGGAAGAGTTTGTACTAAATGATGATCAAGGGTAGTATTACCCATCTTGTCATTATCAGTTACAGGAACAGACATCTTAGAGCAGTTTTTGGAATTGAGAAAGAGCCTAGTTTCAAGTTTCAGAAGAAAAATGACACATTGAACTACTTATTTCACCAATGCTGTTATGCTGAGGTTACTTCATGCCTGGTGTTAGACAAATGCAGGAAATCCATTTTAATTATGTGGACTGCCCTTGTCTACACCATGAGCTTGTCAAGTTCTAAGTGCAGATGTATTTAGAGAGCTTTTAGAGCATACTTTCACAACTAACTTAACCTGAAATAAAGTGGCTGCTGCACAGTGACAGTACGTAGCTTTCTCAGCCATCAGCTTTATACAGAAAAGTTGGGTACATAAGGCGTTAAGGCTATAAAGTCCCACCGAAGACATTAGATGATTACAGTGGTTTGCATAGTAAAGAATGTAAGAAACATGCTTGTGATGCATCAGTGACAACCACATGTTTTTACTCTGTGTTTATGCACAAAACAACCAATAATTAATTATTACTCTGTCTATTAAGGATCCACTGAGATCAATACATTGAATTGATATGTTGAAATTCAAGAGAAACTTAACTTTATAGCATAGCAATCGCAATGCAACAATTTTCCATCATATTACAAAGGAAGGACCTCCTATTAGAAAAGTACATTCATCGAACTTAAAAATACTGGAAAGATCACAAGAAGACACTACAGGCAATGAACGTTAATAATACATTTCTGACTCAAAACTCAGAAAAATAACATTTGATCCTGAGAAACTTGCTGTATTAAAACTTAAAAAAGCTAAAAAAAGATTTTGAGACAAAAATCTATCCAAGGAAAGAAAAAGAAAAAAGAAAAGAAAAAGGAAAAATCAGAATCTGAAAGAATCAAGACTCAGCCGGTTTCTTTTCAGATTCTGAAACTGTTAAGCTCTGGAAGAAAAAAAAATTGACCACTTTAACAGAAATTGTAAGAAATATTTCCAATTAAAAAAACCCCAACATTTTAAGGTATCCATACTTTTGTATAATTTCATTCTCTTCAAGACTTCCAACTAAAATTAAGGTTTTCAATCTATATTTGAGAGGAAGAAAAATTACAAAATTGAGGTGGCTGAAAAAACTTAAAGCTTAAATGTCTTCAATTCCCAAAATCATCTAGGAAAGCTAGTTATAGAAGCTAGCTCATCATGCTTTATGACTAGAGAAGTCAAGTCCTTCATTCTCACACCAGTTAAACAGTTCTCTAAAAGATGGATCAAAATAACGTTCCAAAAAATACAGTATTCTCCAACACAGGATCTTGTTTAGATTATTTTTTTAATGACTTAAATATTTTAGGAAGGTTTAGAAACAGCAAAAGGAAGTAAGTAGATGGAGTCCATAAGGAAACCCTATAGGTTTGGACAAAGAAAAAAAAAGAAATCATCTGGGGTTTTTGGCACTACAGGTATGGAAATATATTGAAAGAGTTTCTGCAAGAACTTGAGAGAAAAATTACCAATCACTCTATCAGGTTGTCGATTAAGTCAGCTTATTTTCTGGACTTACTTATGTGTTAAGGGCAAGAAAACAGTCCTTTCTTCAGTTGCCCGTTCTTCTCTGCTAAGCATAAACAACACTCAGCAAAATTGTATGACCTAGAGATTTTTCGATATAAGTGTCCACATTATTTTTATTCTGTACTGACAAAGCAGCATTCATACACTGTAATTTAAACTATTATCTAATTCCCCTTCCTCATGCTTTCACACTGACATCAAGTTCAGGCTACTCTGGTTTTGCCCTCTCCAACAACCTTACTAAAAAGTTATGTAGCTGGATCAGCTCCCAGGGCCAGCTCACCACACAACCACACAAGCATGAGCACTGAGCCAACGGGAGGGAGCAGCACTAGCTGACAACCCAAGTTCATGTCAATCTGAACTGCTTTGGAACCACACCTTTGTAAGTGTTGATTCAAACACATGCATATTAAACATGAAATGAAGGTCTATTTTCCTTCCCTCCCCTGAAAGTTGTTGTTCAGTGGCAGTAATGGCTGAGCAGCAGAAGAAATTATAAACTGGGATTGTTTTGAGTATTAAGTGAAATGGGTGCCAAACTGGTATTTTATTATTACCTCAGGCTTTAAAGAGATGTGAAAGCAGTTTCATACTACTCCTGACCTTGTCAGCAGTAGCTGAACTTCAGCCTTCAGGAGCAGCAGAGAATGGGTAGCTGGAAGCAGGAACTGATTCTACCACTCAGGTGGAATCTGCTCATGTCCATAAACGTACACGGATTCAGGGTGCTGGTTTACGTACAGAGTCCTGCACAAAGATGGCTCTTCACATCCAGATGCATCCCAAAGTACTGTACACACTCCAGTCCCTCGGGACTCAAGTCCCTAGATCTGCCCGGCCAGGATGCAATGCTTATTGACAAAAGAAAAGATAAATGACTAGACATACGTAAATCAAAATATGAAAACATCTGCCACCTTTAGTGATTTTGAAAAAAACGTATCAAGTCCACAGAACACAGCATTCCCCTTTAGAAAAACACTGGAGTAAATAACTGAAAAGCATCTCATGATACAAAGAACCAAATAAAGATCCAAATTAAAATTTTCTTTAGGCACTACTGAGACAAGACTCAAAGGTATGTAAGATTCCATTTGGGAAAATCCCCCTACCTGATACTAAACATATACTCTCCTCAAACATGAAGGACACTAAGATCAGTAACACAAGCCTTTTTTCTTAGTATTTGTTACTATCAAAATAAAGCCTATAAAAGCAAGAAGATATGTAAGAGAAGTGACTAAGTGCAAATTCAAAAGGGCCAGCTGGAGAAACAGGGCTGAAGCTGCCCACTCGCACTGCCTGATGGGCAGTGTGGATGCCTCCATGTCACGAGATGTGCATGCATAGCTCCAGCCTCCCACCAAGCTCTCCTCAAACCTGTTCTCTAGAATCTCTGCTATGACCTTGACCAACCTGCATCTTCTGTGAAACTGCAATTACTCTGTATTCTTGTAAAGTCTTAGGAAACAGGCAAATGCTTTACTGTAAATCCTCCTAACTTTATGAAGGCCAAGATGACTTAAACTTGGTCTCATAAAGAACTTTTGTATATAAGAATCTAAACAAAAGGGTCATAAGCAGCATTTAAAATAACCTCTATTAAATACCTAAAAAATATAATCTTTTGCATAGAATAAAGTGCAGCTATAGCATAACATTCCATACCACAAGAAATAGCCAATTTACAAGTGGTATACAATTAAATGCTGCATCTCATCACCAAGACTGCAGCAACCAAATACATGTTTATTGGGATAAATCACATTTTAAAAAAAGGGATTAGGTTGTTTCATTATGCCCGTAAAGCAAGTGCAAACATTTGAAATTCTTTTTAGAAGAAAGCAAAGCTGATAAATAATTTTCACAAGTTAATTTTCTCTTGATATCACTTGGAAAGATGAAATACCCTTTGTTCTTTTAGAATCCAAATTAAAAATAAATCCCCATTTGGCATCTGTTTTGTGAAGACAAAAAAAAAAGAAAGCTTGTAAATGTGCACGCTTTAACTGTTCTATAAAAGTTGGATGTTTATAGGATTATAACTCTTCATTCCCTTCTAACTTTTGTACTGCAATCCCTCTGGTAATGAAGCACAGAATAGTATTAAATAAGCCTGGGAGATTGATTTCCACTGCTCACAAGAATAGAGAAAGGGTCTAAGAAGTGGAGAATCAGGAATTTTAGGAAAATGCAAGCCAAAAAACTATTGTCCACTTTTGATAGGAAGCAAGCAACTTTTAAATATCTATTTCTCATATTTGCATGCCTAGACATAAGAAAGAAAAGCATATACCTAATCAGTTGTTAAAACATCTTCAATTTTGGGTTTTTTTTAAAAATCAACTTATTTTATTGGATAAAACTTGGTACTACAATTTGGTAAATTAGATTTAAAATAAATAAAAATAAATATTGTATATATATTTCAAGATTGCTTGTTTCTGTAATGAATTAGTGTCTGTATTGTTAGATTTCATTTTGCTTAGCTTTTTTCAAGGTTTGTCGCCACTTACGAATGGCAGTTCCAGAACTACTAGCTACTACACAAAGAGCACCACCAACAGTCCACCAAGTTGGTAGATGATTGAGAAAAAGAATTTGTAAAATAAAAGCAAACACCACATCCATTGTTTTCATTATGGCTACGGGTCCAGCTTTCTCTATCTGTAATGCTTTTGTGAGAAATATCTGACCCCCTAACCCTAACAAGCCTATTAATATTAGAAGAACTCTATCTTTACCACAATGTGGTAAACGCCATTCATTCATAACAAACAATGCTATAACACATCCAATTAAACCAATGACTGCATAATACCAAACTGACACAAAATAATGCACAGATTTGCCCACCTTCCTTAGTATAACAAAAGTCGAAGCTGAAGATACTGTGCTTGTAATTGCTGCTATAGTTCCTTTAAGGTGATCTGTGTAACTTCCTTCAATCCCTGCAACTTTTGACCCAAACAGAAATGGTGGTCTGGCAATAAGAATCACTCCAGTGACTGCGAAGAGGGTAAACAGAAGATCCCAAATACTGTACTTTTCTTTGAGAAAGATCCATGCCAGCAATGACGTAAAAACAGGACTGCTAAAAGTTATAACAGTGGCATCAGCTAGTGGCATGACTTGGAAAGCATAGTAGAGAAGAATCATTGCACTAGAGCCAAGGAATCCTCGGAAGAAAAGAAAAATTCTTTTACCTTTTGGTCCCAAAAACCCTGTTCTGAAAAACAGAAATGTCACATTAATGTCACTGGCTTATTTCATGACCAATATCCAATCACATTTAATTGTACACACCTTTCTAGGGGAGGGACTTACCTCAAATGTCAAAATATTTTTAATTGATCACAGACCAATTTATTCCCATCACCACCCTCAATCACATTCAGAGTCTGGAAGCTATTCTTCCAGCTATTAATTTTTTTTTTTTTTTTTTTTTTTTTTAAGAACATTACTTTATGGAAGATCAATACATTTGATATAACCCTGCAGAAACCTCTACAATTCAAAGAGTCAAAGATTTTCAGTTTTCCGAATTGTACTAAGAAACTATCAAGTAATCCAAAACAATGCTATTATGCAACTGAACTCTGAATTCAAAGAATATTGCGATCAGAATTGTCACTCACTTAAATCAACATCTATTTTTAAGAAATAACTTTAAACATCTGCTACACTTACTTGTAGTATATTAAGCCAGGAAGAACGAATGCCATTTGGAAAACACATCGAAATGCACTCACTTCCACTGAATGTACATCTTCTATTTTTTTAAGAAATAAAGAGGCCACTGAGAAAAGGAAGGCAGACAGTACGGTATAAACCAGACCAAGTCCCGGACAGGCAGCTTTCTTCTTTGTTCCTGCAACAGATAAACTCCAGTTAATGATGATGTATTAGATTTCTCAGGTCAGGTAGCTCTACATAGTGCAGTGCTCCATACATTTGTAGCTATTCTGGTAGTAGAGGGACAGAGGAAGCAAAAGAAACAAATGCAAATACCATGTGTATTTACCAGACCTACCTTGAAAATACATTTCACTGAACACCACAGCTCTCCTTTTTTTTCTTAAAACCAGAGATAAGAGATGAACTCTAATACTTTGCATACATCCCTACGCATCTCACAGTTCTACGTGAGTTAGTAGGCTTTACTTCTTTGAGGCATCAGACTAGTTGTACGATTCTGACCATAGCCCAAGGACCAATAAATACAACTGACTGCAAAATGGTCCACGGTCAGATTCTGAAACACTGAACTTACTACCTGGGAATCATCTGATTATTATGTAAGTTAATTAAGGTTCCTAAGAAACAATTTAATTTCCTTTTCACAAACACACACACATAAAAATTGTGCGCAGAACCTCATTTCTGTTATACCTCATTATTTTGCACCCAAATCACCCTAAATTTGACCTAGACCTACAGAACTTGTATATAACATTTTTATCGTGCTGTAAGAATCCATATATTTTCTTCAAATAAACATCAAATATATATTTTTAAGCAGAAGAAATTTACATGACTAGTTTTAAAACAACATAGGCCCGTTTAAAGTACTGATACATATCACAGTTCCATGAAGACCTTGGTTTCACCTTAGATTATGCTTATTTATCAGACTTTCTCTCCCTGAAGTAGTTTCCCAAGTCTAATGGTTTCTATTCAGGCTTCCTCATTGCTTTAGGCCCTTTTCAGTGACATCTCTTCCTTGTTCTACTCATCTTCTCCACTCTTGACTATGAAATAAATAAAAAACATAATAAAAAAAAAACCCAACAGGGTGAACTGCTGCTGAACTCAACACAGCCTCCCAAGAAATCAGACTTTTTTGTTATTGCATTGCTGCATAAAAGCAACAGTCATTCCACTGAACCTAGAGGTGAACACCATGGAAAAGAGAACACATGAAAAATTTGAGTGGGATGTTACCTCACTATCTCTTTTCTTTCTGTCTGCATAAAACATTGGGAGTTACCTTTCTTCTACAACACCCTCTAAAGATAAGAGTGAGAACTCCATGTCTTTGAGGTAGTGTTTTGATAAAAGGGAGCCTCATCTCACATTAGTGTAGGAGCCCATGAGCCTTATGGAGCCTTTAAAACATAACCAGCAGGGCAAGCTGTGAGTTGCTTAGCAACTAAATATGGCTTTGAGGGGTTTTGTTTTGTTTGGGTGTGTGGTTTTTTTTAAGTTAACAAAACTTGTCACAAACCATTTTGATCCTCCTCGAGATCAGCACTCAAGGCAGAGAAACTGCTTCTTACTACCTTAGAGTGAAGACTGTGGGCTGATACAGTGTGTACAGCATTGGTCCTGGCTTTAACAGTTCTAGAGATCTCCAGGCTTTACAACTGCAACCAGAATTTAAAGTAGGCAGAAGGCCTGCTTTTCAAGGAATCCAGCCACGCTACAGCTGTAAATGAATGATAGTTTCTACTAGACAGAAATAATTCTATTTAGCAACAGCCACTTACATAAAAGGGACTATAAAAACTACCACCAACCAACACTGGACTGGGACATCTAGCCACTATGAAACAGAGTGGATTTAAAAAATGTTCATGAATTATATAATGTCCTAATCCACATAGTCACAGAACTGCAAAATCAACAACGTCTCTAATATTAAAGCAAGAGGAATCAGACTGGCCTATAGCTGAAATGGGAAATCCAAAGCCAGGCTGGCTTATGGATGAACACAGCACAAACAGAACTATTAACTTTTATTTCAGGCCTGATAGCTTGTCTGATTGCTACAGGACAAAGCCAAACTAAATAATGGAAGTGTTGAAATGGAAAACCAATCAAATTAAAGCAAAGTAAGCTGAAAGGATCTTATACCCAGAACTAAGCTTTGGATTTGAAGGAACAAAGAAAAACCAGAAGGAACTCATTTTTGTGAGCTACCCAATATATCAAGCCTATCAGAAACAGTGTCTTGTAATACTAGAATTTAAATCATCAACATCTCATATTGCCAAAGCATGTACTCAGTGTGATGAGAAAGTGTTTTATTTCCTTTTAAAAATAAAATGGTACAAGTTCTTCCACCAAAAACATGAATTGCAGTTCTGAAGAGTACTTATTTCAAAATATGTTCTAAGGAGAAGTCAGGCTAAGATAACATTCCCACCCCACAAAATATTAAGTCCCCGAACACTAGCCCAATGCCATCAAAATACTCAAGCACTCATGCTTTTTTTTAAAAAAGCTGAAAATAAAAAAGTTTCAAGTAATACTCAAGTTCTCTTTTCTGAGTGGCTACAGATTTGGTTCTCCAATTTTATTCCCTGGCCATTTAAGGCTTTCAAACAATCTTCCATTCCTGTTTTAAGTACTAGTCAAATGTCTCCCACTTCACATAATTTTCTGTGTAAATTCTTTTTTTTTTGCATTTTAATACCATGCTTTCTTGCAAACAGTTTTTATACTTGTAAAATGCATACAATGAAGAAAATTACACTTCTCACATACATGATCTCGAGAATAATAGCAAAGGCAGAAGAGTACTGGCTGTGGGGAAGGTGGTCAGTGAGAAGATGATTCTCCCAGACCATCAGGAAAGCCAGGAGAGGGTAATCTGCTCTTCACGCCATAAGAAGCAGAAGAACAGTTCTCTCTCAGACTTCAGCAAAGCGCCAGAAGCGCAACAGCCTGCATCTGAACTAATCATGGTCATGCAGACAAGATCTAGGCATGATTCATATAGTTCAGCCATTGACTCAATTAACATTTTTGCTAGACAGACTAACAAAAAAAAAAAGGGGGGGGGGGGGGGGGGTGAATAAATGCAAGTTTCTCAGGATTTCAAATACTGGGTTTTTTCCCCGAGCTTTGCCTCAGAAGTGATACCAATGTGAATTTCACTGGTGAAGCGCACTATTTCTTTTGGCCTCTCCACAACTCACTAGCTAACAAAGATTGCCATTTTATCCATTTTCTGCTGGAAAGTCAATTATAGTCCCTAATTGATGAGAAACACATTTTCAGTGAAGTTGATTAAAAATTACACATGCTGAAGTACTTCAGATAACAACTTCAAAAATTATTTTAGGATGGCATTTACGTTTCAAAAGGAAACCACATTAAAGTTACAAAAACATGTTACATATTTCGCAGTAAGTTTGAGGCTTTAATGATTAAAAATGACGAAGAAGTGAAGCACGGATTAAGAGAAAATAAAGAGCACTCTCACACTAAAGCAAGATAAGAATTACCAAGGAAGTCATAGTTGCAAGTATACGGACTTGTTGAACAGCACTCAACGTATTTACAGCGCCAGAAGTTCACACCGCCAGACGGCACCTCGATTTACCCAAACCTGCCTAGTCTTTAAAACTTTGACAACAGGAAGTACTGTTTTCCCGAGGGACAATCGTCACCGAAGCCCTCACAGCCCTACGTGTA